GCAGGGCACCATTCGTGTGTGTTCCCGTCCAGGAGGCTGGTCAGCAGCATCAGCAGCTGCCGAAGCCAGCACACACCGAAGTAGCAGCCAAGCAGCTTACAGCATGAGCAGGGTAGCAGGAAGGCCATGTGGACACAGTTATCAAGAGCTGTCAAGAGCTGCCCAGAGCTGGAAATTTGTGTTTTTTAACTACGGTTTCAGAAGGGACGTTAGGCCTAGTGGATTATCATTGCAGGGCATCATTCCGTCCCTCAGTGCCATGGTGTTTTCCTGTCCGGGAGGTGCGTTTTTTTAAGGCAATATGTTAGCTAAAAGCACACCAGCAGGAGGAGGGGCTTGTAGCAGGAGCAGCAGCAGCAGCAGGAAGCAGCGCAGCAGCAACAACCGAAGTAGCAGCCGAGCAGCTTACAGCAGGAGCAGGGCAGCAGGAAGGCCATGTGGACACAGCTGTCAAGAGCTGCCAAGAGCTGGAAATTTGTGTTCTTTAACTAGGGTTTCAGAAGGGACGTTAGGCCTCGTGGATTATCATTGCAGGGCACCATTCCGTCCCTCAGTGCCATGGTGCTTTCCTGTCCGGGAGGTGCGTTTTTTTTAGGGATGGGTTTGTTGTGGGCGCGGGATTTTGAGGATTTGTGGGAAGTTCATGGCAGCAGATGTTCATTTTTTGTACCGTCATGCCCTCGTATTGTTGGAAACTTAATCCAAAGCCTCAGATAAAATACACATAACGCTATCAACGGTTCTATGTCATTTAGCCAGTGAATATCAGAGAGAAAATTCAATTTGCCCTGTTGCGCCATGCTCAAATGATAGGGTTTTGTTTGCTTCTATGTTGCAGGTTTTTATAGCAAGCATGAACAAGAGGAAACAGCACTTTTGATTGACAGAAGATTTCATTTTGTCCCCAAGCAGTACTGCATCTTCCAGAGCTCCCTACATAAAGAGATATGGAATGTTTTGCCAGGGTAAGCATATTGTTCCTTTGAAAAATGTTGTGTTATTAAACCCTAGTACAGCATCAACTCAAATTCTAAGGGCCACAGCATGCTTCTCATAAGTCATCGTTGAAAATTTGAAAGAATGTGGCATTTCTTGAGGAAGTTGTGGCATGCCTCTATGCAACATTCTTCTATAGAGGGAGCAACATTCCTTTGAGAAAGTGTAAAACAAGACCCTGAGATGTGCATAGCATTCCTTTAGAACAAGTGCGTTCTGTCTTCCACATATTTTAATGAACATATGTAATTCCTTCCATAGAGGTAGTAGTCCTTTTAGAGAAGGGTAGCATTTCCTTAAGATAAAATATGCATATACGGCATATACATTAGTGTTTTTCAGAAAAGCGGCATTCCTTTCAGACAGTACTTGATGGTTTCATGAAATCTTGATTTAAACGCCGGTGTTATGCCATATTACTTCCATAAATATTATTCATTTGGAAAATACAATATAGTTTTCAATTAACATAATTCACTGTATGATACTATTAACTATATATATATACAGTTACACACAATATTCCTTTCAAAAGTATGTAGCATCTCTTTGAGAAGTAGCCTTCAAGACACACAGCAGTCCTAGTGAAAGAGTATGGCTGAGTATGGTGTGGTTTACAGTAAGTTGTTGTACAAAAGGGAGCCCTTTCATATATACAACAATCCCTTTCAAAGAGGGTGGTGTGTCTGTAAGAAAGCCATGTTACTTGGAAAAGTATTATTCTTTTGGAAAATATAATATGATTTTCAAATAGCATAATTCACTGTATGATACTATTAGCTATATATATATATATATATACAGTTACACACAATATTCCTTTCAAAAGTATGTAGCATCTCTTTGAGAAGTAGCCTTCAAGACACACAGCAGTCCTAGTGAAAGAATCTGGCTGAGTATGGTGTGATTTACAGTAAGTTGTTGTACAAAAGGGAACCCTTTCATATATACAACAATCCCTTTGAAAGAGGGTGATGTGTCTGTAATAAAGCGCAATGCATGGAATTGCCATTTGAAGAAGTATAGTGTTCCTTGCAGGAAATATAGCATTATTTTGAAAGGGTATTCTTGAATAAGCAACTGCTCTTTCAGAGACAACAGTGCAGCATGCCTTTATGCAAATTTCCTTGAGAAGGATGCAATATATTATATTTGTTCATTCCTTTGAAAAGAGGATGGTATTCCTTGCTCAGAAGAAAACTACACAAACAGAGCCACCACCTGCAGAAAATCGGAAATTAGGCCTTGCTGTTCAGGAAATTAAAAAAAATGGTTTCCACCCTGGCGAAGACAGACGACATGGCGCAGAAGGATAGCAAAAGAAATATTGTTAGAGCCAAGACTTACAGATAGATTTCACATGCAGACAGTGCTAGAAGGACATAACAAAGTTCAGCAGATCCATTGCAGACTGGATTGCCTAAGATTAGTCTAGATTAATCTAGATTAATCCAGATTAATCTAGATTAATCCAGATTAATCCAAGGACCAAAAAAACAAAAAAAAAACAAAAAAAAACAAAAAAAACAATGTTTTGGGGACTACTTGGATATAGCCATGATCAGACTAGTCTGGAAAATATTGTTTTTTTTTGTTGTTGTTTTTTTGATTTTTTGGTTCTTGGATTAATCTGGATTAATCCACGGCAAATTCAACATTTTATGAGGATATGTCTAACATTTTTTTTAATATGAGAAGGCCTGCATGTGAGCTCTAAATCACGCATTTTTGCGCGCCCACAACAAGCCTATGTGTTTTTTTAAAGCAATTTGTTGGCTAAAAGATGTGGCAAGCAGTTGCAGCAGCCGCAGCAGAAGCAGCGCAGCAGCAACAACCAAAGTAGCAGCCGAGCAGCTTACAGCAGGAGCAGGGCAGCAGGAAGGCCATGTGGACAAGTTGCCAAGAGCTGCCCAGAGCTGGAAATTTGTTTTTTTTAACTAGGGTTTCAGAAGGGACGTTAGGCCTCGTGGATTATCATTGTAGGGCACCATTCCGTCTCTCATGTGCCATGGTGTTTTCCTGTCCGGGAGGTGCATTTTTTACGGCAATTTGTTGGCTGAAAGCTGTGGCAAACAGTTGCGGGGTGCAGAGGTGGCAAACAGGTCCAGATTCAAAACCCACTCGCTCTGAAATATCAGCTGGGGTCGGCGGCAGGGGCGGCAGCCCTTAGATATATATACCGCAGAAAACGTCGAATCGGAATTGCTGGTGATATCAACAAATAGTGGAATCTTGTGAGAAATGGAGGTCGCATCAACGCGGGGTGAGGAGTTAAGCCTCTATTGACAAACCAATCACCGGGAAATGGACATTCATGGTACATGCAAGACTCTGCCTGCTAAATGCAACCAATGAATGGAGGGATGGCTGGGTGGGTGGGTGAGTGACTGATGGATAGATGGACTGATGGATGGATGCGGGACAATGCACGAATGAATCCACCAATGACTCTGTGCAATGAATCAATGATCAAGACGGCAAAAACATCCCGGCGGAAGCGTTACCGGCGTGCGAAAATGATCAAAATTACTACATCCTCACAGCGAGGAGCCAGTTTTTGCATTCAAAACCTAGCAAAAAAAAAGGTCCGTCTACTTTGGGAATGACAACCCTTCCATCACTTCAGCCTCAAAAAGGGCAACCGCAACTTTTTCTCACATTGAAGATCATAGACTGTAGCATCAAGTTCATGTGGAAATGCAATTGAAGATCATAGAGCGTAGCATCAAGATCATGTGGAAATGCCAATGAAGATCATAGAGCGTAGCATCAAGATCATGTGGAAATGCCAATGAAGATCATAGAGCGTAGCATCAAGATCATGTGGAATTGCAATTGAAGATCATAGAGCGTAGCATCAAGATCATGTGGAAATGCCAATGAAGATCATAGAGTGTAGCATCAAGATCATGTGGAATTGCAATTGAAGATCATAGAGCGTAGCATCAGGTTCATGTGGAAATGCCAATGGAGATCATAGAGCGTAGCATCAAGATCATGTGGAAATGCCAATGAAGATCATAGAGCGTAGCATCAAGATCATGTGGAAATGCCAATGAAAATCATAGAGCGTAGCATCAAGATCATGTGGAAATGCCAATGACGTTATTATCCCACCCAACCCCACCCCACCCCAGACTATCGGATGCGGATGTGTGGAATTGCAATTGAAGATCATAGAGCGTAGCATCAAGATCATGTGGAAATGCCAATGAAGATCATAGAGCGTAGCATCAAGATCATGTGGAATTGCAATTGAAGATCATAGAGCGTAGCATCAAGATCATGTGGAAATGCCAATGAAGATCATAGAGCGTAGCATCAAGATCATGTGGAATTGCAATTGAAGATCATAGAGCGTAGCATCAGGTTCATGTGGAAATGCAATTGAAGATCATATAGGATCATGTGGAAATGCAATTGAAGATCATAGAGCGTAGCATCAAGATCATGTGGAAATGCCAATGAAGATCATAGAGTGTAGCATCAAGATCATGTGGAAATGCCAATGAAGATCATAGAGCGTAGCATCAAGATCATGTGGAAATGCCAATGAAGATCATAGAGCGTAGCATCAAGATCATGTGGAAATGCCAATGAGTTATTATCCCACCCCACCCCACCCCACCCCAGACTATCGGATGCGGATGTGTGGAATTGCAATTGAAGATCATAGAGCGTAGCATCAAGATCATGTGGAAATGCCAATGAAGATCATAGAGCGTAGCATCAAGATCATGTGGAAATGCCAATGACTTTATTATCCCACCCCACCCCACCCCACCCCACCCCAGACTATCGGATGTGGATTTGTGCGACGGTAACGAGTCCGTTGGCAAAAACATGAAACAACGGTCTCGGAAGCGTATGAAGGGGGACCTGTAATGAACAAACAAATGATTCGCTAACCGGTAGACTGATACACTGACTGAAAGATGTGGAATGTATAGAACAAACAGTCACCAACACGTAGCACCAGGCATCGCCCTCTGCAGGAAAGTGGCTCCGGAAAGTCACGAAGGAAGGCCGCGACAGCCTTCTGAGATGCTTCCGGCACACCACTGCCAGCTGGCACACCGAGGTTGCGAAAGGTTTCTTGCCTCAGCTCAGCACTGGTGAGGGAAACAGAAAAAGATGTGACTTGACTTGGGTGGCTCTTACAAATATGAATGAATCTAGCGACTTGTTTCATGACAAGATGGGAACCACCCTCTTAAGGGCATGCACATCTCTATCTACAGTTACCCTAATAAGAGAAGTAGACAAAGGCAATGGCAGTCGCGGATGAGAGCCTTTGGTCTTGCCAAGAGGCAAGCGACATTACCACCAGGTAAATATCAAACCATAAATAGGCTACACACAAATCAGAAAAATGAACAATGCACGTGCATATATATACGTACTATGAGTGTGTGACACTTATGTATACATATATATATGTGTGTGTGTATGATTATGTATGCATACATGTATGTGTGTGTGTGTGTCTAGTCTCATCATGAGCCAATGAAGAAGTACAAAGGGTATAATGATCAATTCATATCAATTCCCCCTTTTGTGGCCATAACTGAGCATAAGTTGGAACAACCTAAATAATATATATATGTGTGTGTCTGTGTTAAAAACAATGCTAATTACCAATCCATCATGGATTTGTGTGTTCCATCCCCACAATAAGGGTGGTCTCAAAACTGGAACCCAAATCCCAGTGTCTATCAAAACGGTCATAAATTAGCAATCAAATCCGATTTTCTGAGACAGATCCCAAATCACATTCCTGGTAGCCCATTATATATCATTATATCATATAGTTACTCCCATTATGGTTAGGTTTTTAACCGTTCTTATCAGATTCTTATCCCGTTTTAAAACAAAAAAACTGCACAGCCCCAGTTGCTTCTCCTCGGTCATCCCCAAAAAGGCCGCATAGGCCGCCAGCCTCGTGGCGTCTCCCAGGCGCCGCGCCAGCTCTGCGAAGCTCTCCGGGGCCGCAGAACTGCCCAGGAAGCCCCAGGCGTCACCCGGCACCAGCAGCAGTGGCAACTCCCTCAGCCAAGGGCCCAAGGGCTGGGAAAACTTAGGCTTTTTGCGGATGATTTTTAAGAAGCAAACCATGCCATCTGAGGCCCCTCCAAAATCTTCGAATTTCCATGAAATTCCTTTCAAATTAGCAAGAACCAAGTGACCATCCCATCATCTCATCCCCGGCCTCGAGGCTATAGCTCCAAAGCCCAAGGCCCTGGCAGCTCGCAAGGTTCCTCCCTCCACCTTGAGCCCATCCGAAGGCAGCTCTGCGGCAACCCTCAGTGGAGGCGACATGGCAACGACCCACCCTGGACAGGCTGCAGGGGAGGTCCCTGGTCAGATCATGGGCTGAGATCTTTGCAAACTTTTGAGGGTCAAAATCAGAATGCAGTTCTTAGATGTTCTTAGAATTTGTGGGCCGATGGATTCTTCATGAGAGAATTCCTGAAATGATGATGAGCGCCCGTGGAGAGGTGGAGGTGGGAAAATAGTAAAGTCAACCCCTCCAAGTTAAGTTGAGCCCCGAAGTCAGTGAAGACTGGTTTGTCTTTGAAGTGATAAGACATAGCAAAATCATGCAAAATCTCCCTATCTTCGACACCGCATCCGGTTTATCTTTCTTGAATTGAACCAATCCCCACGGATTTACGGCCTGGAAACACCCCAAAAACGTGCCACATTAATGTTTGTTCACTAGCTGTCATGGCTGCGGGTGTCAAGAATCTGGGGCCTCACATCAGCTTTGACCTTAAAGCCATCAAAAATCATCGAAACAACGAACAGTGGGAGAGCTACAGCAAGCGAGAACATCAATGCATATCAGTCTACATCCACTGGAAAGCCTAGGGAGCCTCGATCTCGTCTTAGAACACGGGTACCAACCGTGTGACACCCATCAAAACCATGTTTGGCTTCCCCTTCAGAGTCTTGAATCTTGTTTGCCCTTCACTTGAATTCTCACAGGCCCATCATATCTTTCTACAGCAAGACACGCAGGAGAGTCATAGAGAGTCATATGATGATTCATGCCATGCTGTACAGTACAGGCAGTCATCCAATACCACCAACCTTTCAAACAATTTCGTGCACCATCTGTCCGAATAGTTGATCATTGTGTCACGCACCTCGGACCTATTTCGCCTATGCAACCACATTCTGGGTCATCGCACAAAACTATAGGAAAAACATGGGAAACTTCTCAACAGTAAAACCACTTCAATAATTCAGATTAAACAATGGAAACCACCCCAACCCGCGCATCTTGCGCCGACCCCAGCATTTTGGCACCTCTACCGAACCGTGGATGAACTGCGTGTTCTGCCGGTGAGCCAGGCTGGGGTCGGACTGTGTGTCTACTGCCATCCATCCACCTCTGGCCCAGCCGGCCTCGCTGGGCTCAACTTTCTCAACACCTTGCCAACATCGATCAGCGCGGAGATTGCATCCAATCTGGTAGATGGATGTAACCGTGCTATCATTGGTGGGCTCAGGAAATTTCCAGAGGGGCCTAGGAAACCCTTCCTCCTTCCCAAACAGCTCCCCCCACACAGACTTCAGAAACTGCAGGCCTGATCCTGGCTTGACATGGATCATGAAGATTGAAAGTTTGATGCCAAAATCAAACGCTTCTTGCTCTAACTTCCATGGTCCGTTGTTGGCTTTTGCATGCATTTGGGGGCCCAAAGAAGAATAAGACCCGTGGCCCATAGAATGCATGATGTTGTATTCACTGCGTAAGCCAGGGCTCTACTTCGGAGAGATAATGATGGATGATGTTTGCCTTGCAGAATTCAATCATAATTGCTGTAACACTGTAGTTCTGAAAAGGTTCTCAACCCTTGAAGCTCGACATACAAATCCTTAACGGCCTCTTCCAATCAGGAGCATGATATTCATTAAATCCATGACGTTTGATGCCTCCTTTCTCCAGAGCGCTCAAGGCTCCAGATCTCGACTCAAGGGCCTCAGATGTCAATCCGTCAGCTGCGGAGCTGCTGATTAACCAGACTGCACAGGGGATTGTGAGTTGGGCCCTAGCGGTCATCGCCGCAACCACAACCCATGGCTCCCGCCCCGCACCATCGGCTGTACAGGCTGGTGCGGCCATCCGCATGCGGGGGCCATCCCAACGCAACCCTCAATCCTTGAAAAACGAAGGGCCAAGGCTGGCCAAGGCAGTAGATGCAGATTTTGTAAAGGCGCCACTTTGATGTGTTGGACTGCGTTGGGGTTGATGCAAGTTTGCACACGCTTCTTCAAGCACGTGCCAGTTACCCTGCCGCCCTCTGGCAAGCTGCGGGTGTATCTGTTCTTTCCTGAGGGGTGAACTGTACAATGCCCTCACGAATTCTGCGCCACAACGGGAACCTTGAAAGATTTGCGCCACACCGGGCGTTGGTTTGGGATTAGTTACATGCCTGCCACCATGGATCCAACGGGATACGGTTGGATCAAGCCGATATCCACCAAAAAACGCTGTCCATGCGGGGTCTCCTCCAGCTTGGACTGGTGTCCCCGAATGAGTTGCATGGCTGCGTCCGAGTTCACTCGGGTATCACGCAGCATGGCTCGTGCAACGTAGCAACCGAACTGGGTGAGGGCCAGGTCCAGAATCATCTCCGGCTGCCCCAGTTTGGCCACAAGAACATCTTGCTCACTCCTTGAGCGACGAGGTGGCCAGGCAATGTCTCGTGGCAAATTTTGGGGCCCCCACACCCAATCTTAAGAAACAACTTAATTTAGCACTTAGCACCTGCACTCTACTAGTTCACTTCTCACACGCAGAGCAAGACCAGAGGGATGTGGGACAAAATACTATGATATAATCATAAATCATTTTCATCATCAACAGTATCAACATAGGTTGTATTTTTGGTTTTGGTGATGTTGATAATTCTGATGGTGACAGTGATGATGGTGATGATGATGATGATGACGACGATCATCATGCTGCATGAAAACTACTACTCTTATCTATTCATTTGTTGACCATGTACCTGGAGTGTTGGCTGCTTCATGCATCTCCATATGAAATAGACGCACAATGCGGCCAAAATTCTGGCTGCAATAGCTCAACACCTTTTCCACCAAATAGCCTTGGCTGTGGGCAGGTGGGTTTCCCTTGGGGTAAACAAACATAGCTATGGAAAATCACTATCTTGTGGTAAGTAAATCATCCATAAATTTGCAATTTTCTTAGCTATGTTCGTTTACTGGAGGGTACATGAAACAGTCGAAGAAATAACATGCAGTTTTCAGTTTTGCTCGAGCTTACTTATATCCAATCATATCCAACTCATTATCCAAACATGTACGAAAAGCTGACTGCGCATTGACCACTAGGATCACAAGCCATATTTTGCAGGAATTCATTGCTGATTGAAATTAGGGGAACGTTTTGTCGCTATGCCAGACATTTTTTCCCCAATTCTCCTCGAAGGTGCTGGAATTCTTGTGGGTGGCAAACTTCCTTGGATCCACCAGCAACACATCTGCCACCAACTTCTTGTGGCGTTCCTGCAGCAGCGGCGCTAAGAATCATTGGCCAAAGGATTGGCAAACATATGTTCAAAAGAATCATCGATATCCATCATCACAATCATCATCATCATCATCATCACCATCATCACCATCATCAAATCACCATCATTACCATCATCACCATCATCATCATCACCATCACCATCACCATCATCATCATCATCATCGTCATGATCGCCACCATCATCATCATCATCATCATCTTTTTCATCATCATCAAATCATCATCATCATCATCGTCATCATCATGATCATCATCATCATCAAATCATCATCATCATCACCATCATCATCACCACCATCACCATCATCACCATCATCAGACCAAAAACAAAAAAACATCACCATCATCATCATCACCATCATCATCATCAAATCAAATCAAAAACAAAAAATCATCATCATCATCAGCACCATCATCATCATCGTCATGATCGCCATCATCATCATCATCATCAGCATCATCATCATCATCATCTTTTTCATCATCATCATCATCATCATCATCAAATCATCATCATCATCATCGTCATCATCATCATCATCATCATCAGCACCATCATCGTCATCATCATCACCATCATCATCACTATCATCGTCGTCGTCGTCGTCGCCGTCATCATCATCATCATCATCATCATCATCATCATCACCATCATCATCATCATCGAATCAATATGCATCAATATCCATCAATATCCATCCTGGTCGACTTGGAATGCTGCTACAGAACTGAAGGGCTAAATCGCACAATCCAGCTCCACCTCTCCATACATTGTAATCACCATCCATGGTCCCATGGCGCAGATTGGCCGTCCTCGCCATTCTCCAAGATGGATTCCATGACGTGATGGGCAAAGTTATGGGTGCACAACTCTGCAGCATCCACCAACAGTTCATCCATCAGTGCTGATGTTACCTTGGTGGCGCCCCGCAAGACTCTGTTGTTAACCCAATGCCATAAACTCTCCTAGTAACCAACCGTGTGCGGGTCATTTTCCATCATTCCAAACAGGGGCAGACCCAATTTCATAAACCTGAATTGGGGAGGATAACAATTTATTGGGCTTACTGTGTCCCATTACACACACACATGTATATATATACATGTTAATTATATACATACATCATATATATATAATACATCCTCTATCCGTTTGTCCGTCGTTTTGTTTGTCTACTGACCGACCGGCTCTCTGTCCGTGTCTCTGTCGACAATCTATCACCAGTCTATTTGTCTATTGAGGTACGCATCCATTGATCAAAACCCCGAATCTATTAGGACAGATCGGGATCATTCCATGAAAGCAATGAAGAATGATAACAATCTTCTTCATCACCACCATCATCAGCTGGCAAAAAACAGTGGCCGTCATCATAAAAACAATGTTGTGTGAAGAAACGGGTATGTACACAAATGCAAACCTCCCGACGCCATGCCCATCGTTGGTAACCAGTGGCGCTAAAGGAACAGAACTCCAAGAGCCTGCAAAGGATACGACACGCAAAGCGGTGCCTCAACTGTTGCACCAAGTGGCGACAAAGTGCAGCCGCGATGACACCAGAAAGTGAGACAATTTTGGGAGGCATCGAGATAGGAAAACTCCCAAAACTATTGCCATTTGGCAGATTCTGGCATACAATATTTGCAAACAAAGGGGGTTCAGCCCAAAAAAAAACTCCAGCCAAAAAGAATGAGAACAGGCCTTGCAACACACAGGTCTAGCAGCGCTAGTTCAATTTGCTCTTCACCCTAGCGTCACAGAAGACAGAGATTGCCAAAGATCATGTCTTAGATCCATTTTCGGGGATGGATCTGCACTTGGAAGGTTGCTGAAAGCATTTATATAATCTGCATACCCGGAGTGCAGGGTTGAATTGGGATCTGGGGTGTGCGGCCTGTGATATTTGCCGTTGTTAAATCCATCGGCAGCCAATGATTGGCGGCCATTGTCAACTGTTCATCCATGACATCATGTTTATCCATGTTTATCTCACTTACATTTACTCATCTACTATGGCTGCAATCCGACATGGATGTAGGATGTAGGATGATGTAGGTCAATACCATGGCATCCCCATGGTAGCGAATCATGGCGTTCAACTGAAACCTTCCAACTACCCCATTCCACCTGACATTTACATTTTCCTTGGGTTGTATTGTATCTCAAGTTCTTTGCTGAGTTCCCCCCAGTTTTCTTTTGTTGGTAGACCATCCCCTTTTTGGGTTTGTCTGAAAATAGGCTACCCCCCAATTCCAGATCATGTTCCTTTGAAATTTGCTATTTCAGAGGGTACCCCTTGGAAAATAGGGGATACTGCTATCATTTTCCACTGTTTTAAAAACAACCCCTATCAAATTCCCATGAAAAAATGTTAATTAAGTATCATGATCATGTTCCTATCAAAGCCATTTTAAGTCATTAAAATTAGTCTGTCCCCTATTTTCAAATAGACGCCTCGGGTCTTCTCCGATCCAGCCACCCTCGGCGCCCCCCACGGTTGCCGCCACGTGGCTTGGCCACACGCACCACGCTGCCGTGCAGTTCCAAGGCCACGAAGCGGGAGGCTGCGCTGGAGAGGTGGGAGACCACCTGGGATGCCAATGGCACTTTTAGATGGGATCATAAAATGGACGTAATATAGGGATAATCCATTATGGTTTATATTATATATTATGGTTACATGTCTAAGATGGTTAAAAAATGATGGTTTATATCCATTTTATGGGATCATCTAATAGTAATATGGGATATGTAAGCATTATTCCATTATTCCAGCATATGGTTTGACAATGTTTGACAGGGATACTACTCCTAAAATCATAGGAATAGTGGGAGAATAAATCTCATCTAATTGAAATATATAATATGGAACATGATGTTAAAATATGTTAAATATATGGATTGTAATATGGAATTTAACCATTATTCATTATTCTGTTATACGGTTTGATAGGGATAATGGTCCAATATTGTGGTTTTATATGCTGTCTTTATATTATGGTTTAATAATGATATACTAATGGGATAGTAATGGGATAATAATGGATTTACCCTCCCGTGTCATTAAACGTAGCAATTGAAAATCCCCGCGCTAAATGGAGGTTTCTAATTGGGAAAATCATCCAAAAATGGTGTGTTTTCAATTGCAGGTATAATGAATGGTTATAAGAAAAGAGACGGTTTGATGGCGATTCATCGGGTTATGTGACCTTTATATATGGTAATGAATGGGAATTCACCGACAAAAATGCAGAGATTTTCGTGGGAATTACCCTCCAGTGTTCACCAATGATTATATATCGTTGATCATATACTGACTTCTGGAAAATTCACATTGGATTATCTTGGTATGTCCGTCCAGTTCTAGGGATTTCGGGGGTGCCCACTATTATTCATGCCAATAGTTTTGGGGTAGCCACTATTATTCCATCTATTCAGGAGTTTTTAAAAGGACCTTAGCTATTTATATAATGGCATCTCTAGTTACGTATTCCATGCTGCAGCCAAGCTCCAGCCACCTAAAAGTTTGAACTTTCTGCCCAAAATAGCTGTGCAAGTCACACTCCCCACGTGCCGCATCTTTTAACACTGGAAGTCAAAGGGCTGAAGGTATCACATTTTCGCCCCTTGAGAATCAAAGCAATGGCGTGAGGTTTGTAATGGGGCTCATGGTCGGAGTTCTTGTACTATGAACTTGCGATGTTTTTGCCTTTGTTTGAAACTGTGTCTAGACTTGTCGTGGTTTGAGTTTGGCAAAATATATATGTCAGAGCAATGGCCTTGAAATGCCATGTTGGGGATCAATCGAAAGAAACAAATGTTTAGCCGAACAGCATGTTCCGAAATCTGCTAAAAAGGTTTGCATATTAACCATGTTGTCTGGGCCCAAGAAGGTTTCAGGACATCTTTTCCGCGCGAACGCGTATGGTTGTGTTAGCTTGAAACCTAGTTTTTACTATCCCGTGGGGCAACTTGAACCAGATATGCTCGAAACAAACTTCCAGCACGGGCACTCTAGGTAGCACACCCGTGCGGACGCAACTGGTTGTGTTGGCTCGAAACAGCTTTTCAACCAAACACCAGATCAAGCATACTTCGTTTCAAAAGACCAACTACGAGTATGTACAGACACCTTTGCTTGCGTTTGAAACAAAGCTTGGACGCGCTCCAAACTCCAAGAAGTTTTTCCTCAACGCTGGCCGCGAAGATATGCTGCACTCTCTGAGTGCAGGAACGCCACTGCTTTCTGCCACTCGCAGCATGCGAACGCTTTTTTCTTTTTCAAGAATCGGGTATATACATTAATCAGTTCTAGTTTTTTACTCTCTCCTCACCCCTGGAGATTTTGCTATCTCCTCGCCCCAGGAGAAGCTTGACATTGCTGGCAGCACGGCAACTTCTTCATACATAACATCAAAGAAACTATGATCAACCGAGGATTCACAAACCCCGGTGGATGAATGTGGGGTGTAAAATGGCCCCAATGAACAGCCTAGGGGATTATTAATCCGACGTTGGCATTATAGTTGTTGTTGATGTTGGCACCATGCAATCCATCCTGTCCACTGCGGTTTGTAGGTGTAATTATATGTACAGAAGGTTGGGAGACGGTTCAGTGGCCCAAAAGGCGGGTATCCATTATTTAACGGATGAATATGGGTAATTCAATGGAAAACTATTCATAGTGGATAATCGATGACAATCGGGCAATTGGGACTCTCTCTCTCTCTCTCTATCGATCTGTCCAAGAGTTCAGCCATAATTGCGACCGTAACTTGTTTTTTTTTGCAAGTTACATCTTCCAACAGTTTGCCCTTCAGCCAGGGCCCGTTACAAAAAGGAAAGCCTTCATGGAGCTAAGAAGTAGTCCAAAACAGTGTTGAAGTGGCTGGTGCATCCTAAATCCTAAAGATTTAGGAAACCTAAAATCCAATGGATTCTAAAGTAGTACAAAACCTCATTCCCTCCATACAAAAGACTGACGCCCAAAGGTGCCAAGTCCCGCCTTTTGGATCACATAGTTGGCATGGGGACACCTCAGGACGCATCTCATCAACATGCAACACGTCCAAGCCTAAACATCGTACCCCTAACCTTTGCTGAGAGATAGCTGTGGGGAAAACATTGTGATTTTATGACATGGGGATGGGCTCTGGTTCAACCTGGGTTCTTGGCAATTTTGATGCAGGATTCGCCAGATTTTTTAGGGCTCGGAAACAAAAGGATATTCTTGGCAGGTTTGCAAAGGCGATGTAATAAAAAAACAACAATATTCACCAACCAATCGCAGTTTCTCCCAGGATGTTTTGCTTTCCCGACATATTTGAATGACACTACAACATCATCACGTGCGCAAGTTTTGCCAGCAAAATAAAATAGTCAAATCTTTCACCTGCCAGTGACTGCCGTTCATAAACTCGCAGTTCACGAATGGGTGGAAGTCCCAAACAAGATGACATGTGTGTGTGTGCATCTATGTGTCTATATCTTTATTCAGCTGGTGGTCAATATTTGTTCAAGATTCATGGCCGATATATATATATATATATATAAATAAAAAAAAGATAGATAGATAGATAGATAGATAGATATTCATATAGATAGATAGATAGATAGATAGATAGATAGATAGGTAGATGGATAGATAGATAGATAGATAGATAGATAGATAGATAGATGATGAGATTAGATTAGATTAGATTAGATTGGATTGGATTAGATTAGATTAGATTAGATAGATTAGATAGATTAGATAGATTAGATGGATAGATTAGAGAAGTTAGATAAATAAGATAGATAAGATAGATAGATAGATAGATAGATAGATAGATAGATAGATAGATAGATAGGTACATAGATAGATATTCATATAGATAGATAGATAGATAGATAGATAGATAGATAGATAGATAGATAGATAGATAGATAGATAGATATTCATATAGATAGATAGATAGATAGATAGATAGATAGAGAGATAGATAGATAGATCGATCGATAGATAGATCGATAGATCGATAGGATTACATAGATCGATAGGATTACATAGATCGATAGGATTACATAGATAGGATTAGATAGATAGGATTAGATAGATAGGATTAGATAGATAGGATTAGATAGATAGATAGATAGATAGATAGATAGATAGATAGGATTAGATAGATAGATAGATAGATAGATAGATAGATAGATAGATAGATAGATAGATAGGATTAGATAGATAGGATTAGATAGATAGGATTAGATAGATAGGATTAGATAGATAGGATTAGATAGATAGGATTAGATAGATAGGATTAGGTAGATAGGATTAGATAGATAGGATTAGATAGATAGGATTAGATAGATAGGATTAGATAGATAGGATTAGATAGATAGGATTAGATGGTTAGGATTAGATGGTTTGGATTAGATAGGATTAGATAGATTAGATCGATTGATAGGATTAGATAGATAGGATTAGATACATAGGATTAGTTACATAGGATTAGATAGATAAGATTAGATAGATAGATAAATAGATAGATAAATAGATAGATAGATAGATTGATAGATAGATAGATAGACAGACAGACAAATAGATAGACAGATAGGCAGACAGACAGACAGACAGACAGACAGATAGATAGATAGATTAGATTGATAGATATGTGGATATATATTTATATATACGTGTTTGTCCCCTCAATCCTACATCCACCCTAGGTTTCCCCATCATTTCTAGTTGCACGTCATTTTTTCATCATGTTCCCATGATTTTCCCCCTAAATCATGCAACATCCTTCAGAATTCATTAGAATCCTCATGAATCCTCAGAATTTTACCCCAAAAAACATCATCAGATTGAATCCTCAATACGTTTTTTTTGGTCAAAAAGATCCAGCCCAACTTTCCGCGTGGCGTCCAGGTCACATGGCTGCCTCGAGCACGTGGCCCTCCAGCTCCGTGGCCAGCTCCGCCGCCTCGCGGCCGCCGGTCTCCAGGGCTTCCTGGACCAGGCGACAGCCCAGGTCGTTACGCGACCAAGCCCAAACGTGACCTGTGGCGTTGGGAGCACCCCAGTGATGCCATGCCTCTTGATGTTGGATTCTGTGATTTGCCTCTGGAATTTGATGTTGGATTTTCTATGATTTTCTTGGTTCACACAGCTTTTGACCACCTGAAGCGAACGACTTACTATGACTTACTCATCGCGTGGGATGGACATCATTGGAATTTTACATGAATAAAATGAGGATTGAAATGGACTTCATCAGTGCCATGGTTGCGAATCACTGGCTAACTGGGAATCAAACCGGGCTGGCTGGAAATTCCACCCCGATGATGTGACGTTTGAAGGCTGTCTCAATCCAAGAGAGCGTGGTTTTGAAGGGTAGGAATTTGAGGGGAGTTTCAAGCAATCAAAACATGGAGATTGCGAAGTTTACAACTCAGGGGAAAAATGAAGTGAATTCTCCTGTAACCTATGATGCTTGTTTTGCAACTGCCGGAATTCTGCTCTACGGTAAATGTATTTAATGTATTTTAATGTTTCATTTCAAAGTTAAATATCAGATTCAAATAGAACGTGTTCAATGATGTTCATCAATCCATAACTGGGGCAGGCTAGGAAATCCAAGCAAATCGGAGCAACTTTGTCTGTTCAAAGCACAATGCAGCTACGTTCGGGCCCACCTTTCAAGTGCAGAACATTGCAGAACTGTATTTTGGCAATTTATTGACAGGTATTAACAGCATTTTTGGGACCGCCAAAGAGCTGCCCCTGCACCCCTGCCCCCTTTCACGCCTTTCATCATCTGCAACGCGGCCACTGGATCTTCTTTGAGTTGCGCACGGAGTTCGTCCAAGTCCACCTGGAAAGGTAAGATGATGGGGATGATGTGGGAGTGCCTAAGAAACTCTATTTGTCATCACATTGTCATCACATTATCATCACGCTATTGGTAGATTTCGGCGAGTTCATAGCTTTTGGTCACCCCCAATCTTTCCCAGACTCAACATCCCTCAAAACGAGTATGATGAGTTCACAAAATGATACAAAATGATTAATTATTGTGTGTAATCGAATTTCTTTCAAACCCCCATTTTGATCCCGTGTTGGAGTCCGATGTTTATACGTTTCCCACCTTCGGCGCTCCGGAGGCGTTCGCGATCTTCGCCCGCTCCGCGGCCCGCTTTCGCCTCAGCCGCCGGGCCGTGCTGGCCGTGCAGCGCGGCGCGGCCTGCCTTCGCTCCTCGCTGTCGTCACTGGGGACGTCGGTGCGAGGCGTTGCGGTCAAGGGCGCAATGGGACCACAGGGGGCGCCACAGGGGGAGGTTGGAGCGGCCGCAGGCATCACTGGAAGCTGCAGATGTTGGGTGAAGCCCGGCTGACATGGACCAGGTTGAGGACACCAGGTCACATAACTCACAGGAGCTGCGTGAGTGACAGAAAAGGTGGATGCATCGACCAAGACGATGACCTGGCTGGGCTGAGGCATCATGGGCATCTGGCTCAAATTCGTCATCTCAGCAGCAGGTGCCATTGCTTGGACACGGAACGAGATTAAGCTGAGATCTAGGCAGCGCCGGTTCTTGAAAGTGTTTTGAGCTCAGGTTGCTGGCGAAAAAGACTGCACAAAGCCAAGACTGCAAGCCCAAGCGAGACATTTCCTATGTGACATGAAGATTCCAGGCTGAAAAGTTGGTTGTGGTGAAGGGCTATTCGGGCTATTCGGCTATTCATGCTCTCATGTCCAACTGATCTTCGTAGCCCGCGGTCTGCACCTTCAGCAGCTGGCTGAAGGGTACTGGCGTTTGTGACCTCGGTGCACCATGCTACAGATCAAGCCTTGAAACTGTAGCAAAAAAACATGCATATTGCAGAAATGTGATTTCATTCGCCCTGACACTGAACTCCCTCACAGGCAACAACTCCTATAAGTCGTTGTTCATCGATCGCGCATCACCTTCTAGATTTTAGATGGTCGAAGCAAGGTTGGGGGAGATAAGCCAGCCTTCCAAATCCACAAACGCTATCCTTTCTTAGCCATTTCAAGACGGGTGGTTGGTGAACTTCATCTCCCTACAGAGTTTCTCCTGAAAATGTACAATTCCTCTGGGACCATACCGGAACCAAGTCCTCCCACGCGTGTTTGTTGTCCATAAGTGTAGTCGCAGGTGCACCCGCCGGTGGCATACCAACAGGTACTGCGGGTGACACTAGTCCCCTGGCTGCCGGGATGAATGACTCAATGCTTTACTCCGCATGGCAACTTAACAGTTGGCTATGGAAAATCCCAATTCTGATGAGTAACTGTAGAACGTAAAATGTGTAACATAATGTAACATAATATAATGTAAATAATTATGTCATATACATATATATATATATAATATACACAGTATACATAATATGTTACATGTTCCATAGCTATGTTAAATTACTGGAGGTAGTAGTCCAATTAGAATGGTGTGGGCGCACTTGTGCCGCATTTTCGAACCATGACCACAAAATAGCAGTTGAGGGGGTTGCGGGGTTGTGGTGTTGTGGTGCTTATAACAAGCAATTAGAAAGAACCAGGTATTTGCCAGAGTTATGGTAATTTATCCAAATTCGTCTGAGGGGTGAACATCATATCATAAACTTCCCAACTCAACGATTCTTCATGTTTTTTTGATATGAACCAAGACCCCCTAGCGAGCATCTAAACCTGGCATTTAATTTACTTCTTCTTTTGCTCGGTTTCTATCACTATACGGCTGAATATGCCATTTCAACGGAGACCAATGGGCAAAAGGTAGGGCTTGTGCCACCAAGGTCAGCCATGGCCTTGGTATTCCGCAACTCCACCCACGGCCTCGGAAACCAAGTGGCCATTGAAGCTTGAGCTGAAAAGCAGTTCCATATGGCGATGTTAGTTTGGATCCTCAACCACAAAAAGCCACCATTCATCAAAACTTCATTGGTAGTGGAGGGTTCATATTCCATTGGAAGCTTTTTGATAAGATTCCAACCATATTCCAACCATTCATATTCCATTTACTCCCCATGTCTCAGCTGCCCTGCGCCACATCCAACAAGCGCTGGAAGTAGCTCCGCGAGAGCCCTTCTGGGATGGCCTGAGCGCCACATCACCCTGGAAATGCTGGGTACTGCACGATAAGTCTTTGAAATCTTAAAACAGTATACCCGGTATACCCGGTATACCCGATGACATGATGTTATTTCTAGTTTTTCAGACTTTGTGGACTTCGGGGGTCCTGCTCCCCCCACCCCCCAACTTCGGACCTTCGGCCAGTGCAAGGAGAAGCATCGCCGCTCTTCGTCCAGGATCACCGGCTGCCACCTACGTCTGCCACCGGTGATTTCCCAACGGTCAACCGGATCTAGATATCTATAGTTGCAACACGCCTTTAATGGATGCAAAATTACATACAATGTGTACAGTGTATAGTACTCACTCATTCATAAATTTATCTATTTAGCTATGTATCTACTTAGTTCGCTATCAATCGATTTATCTATTGATCTTCTATTCCATTATCCATCTATCTATCTCTACATTTCGTCATTTCATGTCATTTCCAAAAAACAAACATGCATCATACAATTTTATAATATCACATACAATCCGTGATTTCACCCAAAGAACGGAAATATGTGACCCACATTTTCATTGCCTGTCCAGTGAGGCGGAGGAGAACTCCGCCAGCAAATGCAGCGGCACATCGGCCCGGGACCTGCCGTCTGATTTCGTCGTTTTGCGGCGGTTCAGGGACCAGGAAATCACCCAAACAATTATTCAAAACGGATGGATTTTACCTGGTTAACCATAAAAGATGGTGGTTTAACCATCCAAATTGAAGATCCAGCCCGGAAAAAGAGTGTTTCAAGCTGCAAAGATTGGGGTTTAAGCAGCAAAAACACGTGATTCATCCTTTAACCGTCAAAAAATAGGATTTAACGCAGGATCCAAGCCAGGAAATATAGGTGTTTCCCCACCAAAACTGGGAATTTGTAGTAAAACTACAACTATATAACCGGTCCAAGCAACAAACGGAGTTGTTCACCATCAAAAAACGAGGATCCTGAGGCGCCGGGCGGCTCATCTCCTTGGCCTTGGAGGTTCGGATCAGAATCTATAGCTACCACAGGTGGGGCAAAGAAACAAATATTCAGAACCATTACATTTCTCTGAACAAAAATCAAAATACATCATACACCCGCACACACGCATACATACATGCATGTGATTGTTGATACTGTGCGGCCAGTTTGGGTCATCATATGTTCAAAATAATATCATTGTTAACATTGTTGTACAATGTTATATCCAGATCCTACACATCCAGATCTGCCCTCAGTCAGACTCCAGTCATGTCAACCCACAGCAGTTTTTCTCAGCAGTCTGTTCGCGTTTCGTGGTTCGGTGCCCTACAGCAACCTGCCGGTCTCAACCTGGAGCCGCTGGTTCCAGAGTTGGTTAGGTGGTAGTCATGTTTGGTAAGTCCCCTGTGGCTTGGAGTATCCTGGTGTATATCAACATGGCCAAATAACTAACTAACTAAGTAAATAAATAACTAAATAGATAAGCAATTAAATATTAAACGCTGAATTGTATATTACTTAGTTAGTTTGTCAGTCAGTCAGCCAGTCAGCTGGTCAGTCAGTCAGTCAGTCAGTCAGTCAGTCAGTTAATCAGTTAGTCAGTCAGTCAGCCAGTCAGTCAGTCAGTCAGTTAGTTAAATAGTTAGCTAGTTATCCATGTATTTATTTACGCCCATATCATGCATCTATTTACTTCTGTCTTTATGTCCAGATATATGTTTTGTGCAACATTGATCAATATATATCAATATTGTATATTTTTCCGTAGCGATATGCAGTTATGTCCAACTACGCGTCAGCAGCAGCTTTCCGTCAGCCGAATGGAGAAACAAAATGAAAAAGAGAAAAAGAGAAAAGAACAGGAAAATCTGTGGCTGCAGGATACCAGCACCTATAGCACGGGACCCGAGGTTTTGTGTAGGTGGACCCCAAAACCAACGAAACGACGGAGAAACAATAATCACAAAGGAGAAATATATTTAAGGAGATTGGTCCGTGACGCACAGCAGGGTTCGTGACCACTTGTCTCTCGCTTTGGAGAGTAGAACTAGAAAAGGGGGAAAGATGGAGAAAGTAACAAAGATGGAGTGACCGTGGTCTCCCGGCACGCCTCTGGCGGCCCCTGCGAGCTTTAGCTGCAAGGTAATGGAGCTGATGTGGCTAGAAGGAAAATTTTGCCTCGGCCCCTAAAATTGAAGTGGAGAGAGCTTAATAAAAATTCGCCACCTGTGATGTGGCATGGCATGGCCGGAGCTGATGATAACAGCTTCCTGGTGGTAGGCAAAAATGTCCTTATAACAAATTTCACTTTATAAACATAGACTTTCAGTCCCGCGAGAACAGGAAATGGAAATTGCCACGGCCCCTTCAGTACAGAATGACGATGAGCGCACATTCCAGCAAAAGAAGAGAGTGAAGAGTAGGACTTGATGTGGAAGACCTCCCCCTTTGTCTTCTTTTCAGGAAAATGTGCGTGGAGAAAGTGTCGATGAAGTAGAAAATTGATGAATATTGGCTGGAATTGCAAGCAGGAGAATAACGCAACCGAAACGAGACACAATGAGACCAAGTAAGAGATGCTTGAATTGGCACTGGCTCCAGCAAACTCGGAGAATGAGATGTAGAAGAGACTGCGCAAGGCTTCCCCAACAGCCTTGAGGAAGGAGTTGAATACGACAAAATGCAGAAAATAGTGATTGGAGAAAACGTCGATGTAGAAAAATGTAGCCAGAACAACAAGCAGCAGCTTGTATATAGTGCAGAAGTGGTCGCCAAAAGGCTGTCCAAGTAGAAGATGGATGCTGCTTGAATTGTACGCGAGGCTGACATGGCAGAGAAAGAATCCTGATTGGATATTCCTGAAAATACAGGGGCTTGCGAACAGAGGCTAGCTAAAGCTTGTGCCCGTGCCATATTGTATATAAAATTATACAAATGATTACAAATGTACATGTATTATATGTACATTAATCCCCATGGCAAACAACCACCATCCCCGGCCTGATGCGCCAGGTTTGGCGCCCGCCGTGGAATGCCCGCTGCGCGGCTGCAAGGTGTGAGCGCTGGCGCCCGGGGCGCCGGGGGCGGCGCGCTGCGACGGTGAGGTCATGCTCTGGCTGGGGGTCTGACATCCCGTGGCATCCATCCTGGGTCCCAGCACCAAAAACATCCAAAAACTACTGGAAATGATGCAAACTTCAATGTGTTTAGGAGATATTTGGGGGGTTTGAGTTTGACTTGCCAGTAGAATTGAGGCTTGCAATTTAGTTTGAACTCTGGGCCCCCCATCTTAACTGGCAAGGGCACGTCACACAAAACCCAGCATGGAAGACTATCTGGAATTTTTTGAACTGGACACCATAGGCCAAAAATGAGAACAGAAGCATCTGCCTTGACAATGTCCCCAGCAAGAGACAGAAAGATGCCGATGTCATCTGTTTCTTTTGTCAAATGAGGTGAAATCCATGATGTTCCATGATTCCACATTCGATGGGGAAGCCCGGCAATAGAGCTCCAAACTTAACAGAACATGGCTTAACCATCGTCATTTCTGGCTTTCACCCCATGCATCTGGCTTTCACCCCATGCATGTAAGCCATATACAATAATATCCGCAAGCTTATGTAGATCCATTCTTGTGGCTTCACATCGCCAACAAACTTACCCCAACAAATTATCCCATCTGCATCACTTAAGCTATTTAAGCATCAACCAGCCATTGTGGTGTCCATGTCATATCCTTTAACCCACCCCACACCAACAAACCCTGACTACCTCTTCGGTGGTCATCCAATTGTCATCCCATGTCGGCCCTCAAAAAGTGTCAAAAAGCGATGCCTCTGAACATAGAAAGCCCCATTGGTAAACTTCACCAGCTGAGTCAGCTAAGTAATGAGTACTAATTAATACTAATTATATAATGGGGCTTCCTACTTTTGTGGGCTTTCTATGTTCTGAAGCCATTCACTCATCCCCACTAGTAAACATTCACTGCTGATGATGAATCCTCTGTTAATTATACCCATCCCCTTGTTAATCATTATGATGTTTGGATGATTTGAGGGTACCCCCATTTTAGGAAACCTCCATGTGGTTCAGTGATTACATCTAATCATTCATCAAAAAGTCGTGTCCCTTGCCAGTGAATCCAGTGAATCCAGTGAACATCCCCATCTGGAGTCATGATTAAATCATGATTACTAGTCCTCTGTTTCTGATGAATCATGATGAATCCTCTGTTTCTTATACCATCTTAGAATGGCTTTTATTAAATAGACCACCTAACCTAATTATGACGATTTGGGGATATTTGGGGGATGGTTTATGGCATTTATGGCATTGATATGGCATTGATATGGCATTGTTTTACCCACATTACCAGCCTTATACCCATCCCGACTGGCAGTCTGGCCATGTCGCTGCGGCCCCACGGCCTCCTCCGACGTGTCCAGAGGCGGTGGCACTCGGCCGTGGCTCTTCAGCAGCTGCCGGGCCTCGCGGATCTGGGTTTCCAGGCCCTCCAACTCCTGGAGCCCAGCCCGAGGGGAAAATCGATGGGATGTGGGATTGGAAACATGAGATCCAGATCTTCAATTCTTCAAGAGATGTTCTGTGGGCTTTAAGGGATTGGTTGGGAAACAAATATCGAACTTGGTTCCAGATATCTCCAAGTCATTCCAAGTCTAAGATGCCGATTGGTAAAAAATGATCAGAAAACATTGGGCTTGAGGTCTAAACAGCGATGGGCTCAACTCCAAAATCTCTGGGTTTTGTAGAACAAGGGCTTGAATCGGTGTCCGAACAATGGTGAAAACTCTGCATTCTGCCGCGACTCCTGATATTGGCGTTCTCTGAGTGAAAGGTGTGCCTTTCTAGGTCACAAATTCTCACAATTCAAAAGGGAACCTTAAGAATGATCCCGTTCCACAAGAATTGCAAACGTTGGTATTGGAAGAGGCATACCCTCCGTAATGCTTCATCTTCCACGCAAACCTACCTATCCAATTTGGGCATTGCCATACTTTGCAAATGGTTGGCCCCTGGTGAATGGCCGATCCATCGGGACGATTCACCACATCACTTCAGGGGTCGCCAAATGATCCCGGGCGCCCTCCTGTTCCAGGCGTTTGTTCTCATCCTCCAGCCACACATTGCGATCTTCCAGCGTCATCAAGGAGACACCCAGTCGGGACCATAGCCAGCATGCATGTTCCCGAACCTGCGGCAAGCGGAGCCTCAAAATCTCCGTGTGTTTGGACGACTTTCTTGGGAAAAATGGGGATTTTTCCACTTCTGTTTTGGTTTCGTGGATTTCCTGCTCCTCTTCTACCCCGGATGTCTTCATGGTTACATGTTCGTTGGGCCAGGGGTCTGTCAGCAGTGACCAAACAGTTCCCGAACTCCATGGGATTTGTTCAAACCCTCAATATGCGGCCATATTATTCCGTATATGAATTTGGAATTGATCTTCTAAGCATCTTTAGACCATAATTTCAGGCTAATTCCCAACTTTCTCCAAACTGTTGATGCAAAGCCACCAGTGATCCTCCAACCCCTGCCTCTGTGAATTCTGAGGCGGCCACGCTCGCCTTGACATTGCCAGCGCTTCTGCCGTGTGGCGCCGACGCCGCGTGGCCATGGCCGCCATGGCCGCCATGGCCGTGGCTGGCGGGAACGCCGTGCATCAGCGAGGTGACCTTGTCCTTCATCTCGTCAAGGGCCAGGTTGAGGTCATCCTTTCGTTCGGAGAAGATGGCTTGCACCTGCAACGGTAAAAATGAGGTCCCTATAGTTGGTAGGCTTTGTTAGGCTTGTCATAAGAAATGGATGGAGGAACCAACAAGTCAATGAATAGTGAACAAAAACATTTTTACTACGAAAAAATGAAGCAACTACAAACACTGCAAAGATATACTACAGAAATAGATAGATAGTTCAAGTAAATAATATACATAAGTAAATCTACCTACCGATAATTTGCCTGATAGCTGAACGAATAAGTGAACAAACAATATGCATGCATATGCGCTTATACAATTATAGTATTATAGAAATGTATTATATGTTTATTTCTCTGTCCGTGTGCGTGATTAGGAATCTGCTTTGCAAGCAAAATTCAGAATGTCTGTATATACCATGTAGGATGGTCATCCCTGGGTTCTTGCAGGGAATTTGTGTTTTCCCTGAATTGAAAGGCAATAGATTCAGTAGGGCTCCCAGATTCTTCATAGAAAGATCATGCATCAAACGATGCGGGCTCACCCCGTCACTGCAAACAAGCATGAATCGAGGCAAATTTGGGCACCCGGACAATTGCAAACTATAAACTGTAAGCCCAACTGAAGTTCAGGGCCCGGAAAAAAAGAAACATGATCCATTCATCCCAGACTGAAAGAAATGGCAGCTCAAAAACATTGACGCTCCAAATTCCCTCAATCCATCCATCACATTTTTCCTTCAAATCATATCCAAATCATGGTGAATACGATATCAACCAACATTAAATGCACAACAACCCATATCAATCCACATGAAAAGCCATCATTACCCTCCAAAACACTAACATTGCTATGGAAGCCATGACCCAGTTCGATTTTTCTGCGGCGTTTTTCATCAATGGTGATGTTCCACTTCGGAAACTCTAACAGTTTACCAGGGACTGTTCCATATCGTACCCTTTGGTAAACTAACCTATTTAGTTCGTTGATTCCCATCAAAAATGGTGGCTTTTCCATAGGGTGTTTCATAAAAAAATGTTGTTTTTAAATGTTTTCCATAGTTTTCCATCAAAAGAATGGTGGCTTTCCATAGTTAGCCATCAAAAATTGAATGGTGATTTACCCTCGGTAATTTAACATAACTATGGGAAATCACCAATTTTAATGGGAAAATCCACTATAAATGGCCATTTTCAATAGCTATGTTAAATTACCAGAGGGTACCCAATGTGTTTTTTCGGATGACCGGCTGTTCCGGTGCCTTGCTCAGTGGTGCCACCTTGTGGGCTGCTGCAGCAATGGCAGCGCCTCCAAGCTGCGCAGCAGATACATCCACTCCCGCGGCCAAGGTCGGCGTGGGCGTAGGGATGCCCTGCGATGACAGGGACATGGGAAATCTATGGGAAATCCATGATAGATGTGGAGAATTGCCCATTCATGGATAAATTATGATAAATCACCTATTGAAGGGGTGATTTCCCATATCTATATTATATAATATTAGCTCACAGGCGGCTAACCCTTGATGGATCGTAGGTTTCATTTCTGTATATGATTCAACAGTGTTTTGGCGAGGCGTTGCCACGCCTGACTGGCTTCGGGTGAGGCATTGGCAATGGCACCTTCAAGCAAATGGTGGCCTTGTGCCATGGTCACATGGTCAGCCCGGTGCCCGGTCTCGGTCCGACCGGAAGGTGCACAACGGAAAACCGAGCAGCTAGCCGCACACTGATTGGCGGCTTGAACCCAAGGGAGATCATCATGGCATATCATGGCACAGGCACAGGAGGAAACAAAACATGTTTTCAACAGCCACAAGATTTTGATGATCTTACTGAATCTTACTATGGAATTCCCCATGGAATTTCCTATCGACAGGGGGAGAATTGCAGCAACTTTGGCATTTCTCCGGCTTAAGGACATGGGAACCCCATTCCCACAAGCTTCCCGTATCAGAATGCCCAACATTGTGGATCAATAAAAATGCAACCAATCCTGGAGACTGCTGTGATACCATGGGCGGTATGTGCGAATTGCGCATGCCTCAAGCATCCTCAAAAAAGAATCACCAGAATTGCAGGAATTGTTTACCAAACTGAGCATCAGGATGTTCATAACTGATAAACATCCCAACATTTCTGGTACCCTCCAGCAATCAAACATGGCAATGGACCATCTCTTATAAACTGGAAGTGTCAATGGGAAAATCATCAGCACCCACTCGTTGGGCTCACTAACCGTCATCCTCCAGCTTCGGCCACCTGCGGTAAAATGATGGGGGATCAATCAACCCTGTGGCCCTGTGGTTTCCAATAGGGACTTAAGCAGAATGGTGATATAAATGGAATTTACTCTCAGCTACTTGGCAGGGACCTTGGATTTTACATTGACCCTAAAACCCAGATCTTTTTAGGAGTTACCTGAGGGTTTCATGTGATCTTCTTGTTTGACTATAGACCTTATGCGATTTGTGAACGGCAAGGTCTACTCTCAAATGCTTAGATTAACATAAATTTATGGCCGCCATATCATGAAGGTCTAGCATGGGGTCTTGAATGGGATCAAGTTACGTATAATATTTAGGGTCTTCTGTGCCGCACCTGCAAAACCTTTCAATCAACGGAAGCAGCAAGGAGTTCTTTTTAGACATGTTTAGGGGTTCATTCCGGGAACATAAACGGTGTCAACATGGGCAACACAGGGTCTGGAATACACATAATCGGCAGGGCCTACTTTTGGTCTGAAAGTAAGAAAGAGCCTAGCTACAGGAGTCCTGGAGGTCTACCCTAAGTACTTGAGGGGATACAATGGGATAAATAATCACATGACAACATAGATAATAATGGTATGAACCCTCCCCAAGGTCACACCTCCCAATAGTGCTTATTCAGCACCTATTCACCACCAACAACCACCAATAAAGGCCAATCTGAACCACCCACATGATCGGGGGCGTCACCAATAATGGGGGCTCGTTGAGTCCCCACGAAATCAGTAGGGTACCCCTTCATGGATGGATCACCCCTGAAAACTAATATGGAACCCAAGAATTGTTACTTCCAATAGGAAATCACCCTGAAACCCGTCTATCCGGGGTCCATGCTAGTTGTCAGGAGGCGAACCCTTGACAGCCATGGTTTGGCTTATCCCCAACCCATATTGCAAGACAGATTCACATCATCCACTGCCAGACTTTTCCGGGTCCCGGACAAAGTCACAGGGGATGATTCAAGGGGATCAGGCTGATAAATCGAAATCTTAGGCCAAACGCACGCAAATTTGGATGGGCATGCTTTGCAACATGGTACTGCAATCCAGCTTGGGGACTTGAAATTTGAAGCATTCCCAAAGAACCACAACTTTCGCACGGTCCAAGTCCGAACCCTTCATGTCCTCGCCTTGCTGGGCCCGACGCATTCTATTTACGAGTTGAAATTGGTGAAACTAGGTCAATGTCAAAACCAGGATTGATAAATCCCCAGTTTACAATGTTTACAAGTATATAGGTTGATTAGGTGATTGTTAAAATAGCCACAATTCCAATTCCAGATGGGTACTACCCACAGGGCCAGTGGGTGCCACGGGATGACGGGATGACCATTCGGTCGGCCTCATCCTCCAACGGGGCCAGTCTCATCATGGGAAAACTCCAGTTGCTTGGGATGATAGACCTGATAGACTCCACTCAATGTGTTCAAAAAATGGTGTGTGCTGGCGGGTCTACAAGTGTATGTAATATGTATACTATATACTCTATATATATATATGCTATATACTCATTTATTTATACAAAAAGGCTATTGTTTCTCACGCAAGCACCAAAAAAAGGAAAATGATGTATACGTCATAGAAGGAAAGAAGTAGACGAACAAATAGATAGTTGTATGCTCGTGCATGAATAGGCAGCTAACAAAGTATAAATCGTGGGTTATCCTTGCATGTATTCATGAAGAATTCAAATTCAACTGATCCTGATCCTGCTACAGGACTAGCTCAACATCTGCATGATTTGCATTCTTCTTTGAGCCTGGCTGTGATGACATGCAGCAACACGTTTGCCTGAACAAGCTTCTGTTGTACCTTCTGCAAAAACCTTTCGAAAGTCAGGAGAGTTTCAAAGTTGACAAAAGTCCAGGACCATTTCTGGTCTAATCTTCAAGGCAAAAATTCGAAGTTGCTACGAAAGGACTTCAAATTTCAGTGGAATTCAATGAAGAGAGTGACTCATAATCGTCATAACCCAAGGCATCCCAGTCGTCACTTTTTCTGTGGCAGAAAATGATGGGGGTTCTCAAAGGCGGAGACTGTGGATATTCCCCAGGGCAAAGCTCGAAGGTTGGCATCATCCAGACACTCATGTGGTAAACCCAATCGTAAACCATGCCCAATCTTACCATACATGGGTGGCAAAAACCATCAAACATATCTTTAAAACCATCCCTGGTCTGGGGGGTTATTGTTGGGTTTACCACATTATTCAAGTTGATTTTACCTGAAAAATGTCCAACATGCATTATGTATTTTTGAGGGAAATGTCGCTTCGCTATTTGCCCGGAAATAGCATCAATCCGCCTGACAAGGTCTGAATCAGCTTGGCTGAGACACAAAAAGTTCGCAGTCCGCTAGACAAATCTAGACAGGAAGTTCACTAGATTCACTATAATCACCAATGAGGGGTCGACCGATCATGGCGTCCTCAGGGCGGTTCCAGGAACTGCTGGATCTTCCCCGTGGAATGCCATTGGTGCGAGCGTGAGCGGACATTGGTGGAAGCCATTTCACTATTTCAGGCACCTATCATTCAAGTGATCATGTAAGATATGTAAGGCCCTGAACAACATGCAAACAAAAATGAGGGCGCACTCTCCTCGCAAAATATCTTTTTTGATTTTTCCAGACCAGTCCAGCATCACAGCAACCGGTGTGTGGCAACAGCTGGACCGGGGTGGATCCCACTGAGGGCTCGCACTGGATGATTCAACTGTGATTCTACAGCCTGGCGGCGATGGATTCAGCTGGAATTCCAAGGTTCCACCCGTGACTTCTCTTAACCAAAACCAAGGTGCCACCATCATGGAACGAGGGATCGAATGTTCCCAGTGCATTCTGCATTCCCAACTTCTCATTGCTGCCGTGATCACATTGCCAATCTTAGCATAGGCATAGGTGTTTCCTGACCATTTCCTATGTGCAAGAATCAAGGAACCAGTTTACACGTCAATTTTCTTTTTTCAATAATTATCTCCATCCGCTTTCTATGACATCAGCACCATATTTCACAATCTCATGCGTAAAGTGCCCCATCGCCAAATTTTCCGGACCCACATTGATGGTATCCACACATATCCACACACACGACACACATCCACAGTTGGCACCCAAAATTCAGTAACTTCTCAGCATGTCCCTTTTTTATGGCCGTGAGATCGGGCACCCCATTTCCGGTGTTATTTTCCCACGCCCACATGGTCCCAACTGTCCCAAAGCTTTAATATCTCGATATCGATCTCCATTGAGATGGGCCTCTGCACTTTGAGTTACGCAGCAAGCTTTGCAGCAGCTGATGCAGCCTGGCTCGGGCTGGCTGAACGCAGAACACGTCACGTCATGTCATGTCATGCAGTAGGGAGTACGCATATATATGTGTGCAGCATAGTTAAACATATACGTATAACACACATATATGCGTATAAGTGTACGTACATACGTACATACATGTTTAATTAATACTAATTAATCATATTGATGTTTATGTATATAATGCACATATGTGCGCATGCGACTTGTAAAGGTGCATGTTTGCTCACAGGTGCGCGCATGATTCTGCATGTGTGGGATTCACACCTTTTCATGGTATCTCTCTGTGGTGCCAAACACCCAATATTGAAGACTGAAAATCTTCAGAAACGCCTGGCCGGCTGGCCGTTGTGGGGTAGAAAACCATCGTCCCCGCGTTGATAACATACAGAATCACAGTCATGGAATATAATGGGCATGATGTACAAGTTCTGTGGGCAATAGATGTAGCAATGACTGAAGATTTTATCATTTTTTCACGTTGGTCATCTTGTCTTTCAACAGACCCCACCCAAGTACACCAACGTCTGCGCACTGCTCACCGCATGTTTCCAGTGGCACCAGCGTGGCCAGTTCCGATTCCGCTGGCTAATTGCACCAAATTAGCGGACTTGTGACTTGGTTCTGTACCAAAATCAGCAGCCAACGCCATCACTGCTTCAAAGTCCAAGCAGTTTTCTCTTGGCAAACCCAATCTGTTTGGGTCACATGCTCCATCAGACCATCCTCAATGGTGTGAAACCACTAAAATATCTTTAAATCAACATGAACTCAGATAGCTATTTGCTTCATTCACAATTCAGGCATGGAAAAGTCATAGCCCAGCTGAGATTCCAAGCCCTGCAGCAGCAGATCCGCCTCCCGCTCTTCGTTGGCCGATTCGGTGGCCGAGCTCAGCTGAGCCGCGCTGCCCGGACCGCCCGGACCGGCTGCCGGGGCGACGCGCTGTTGGTGCTTTTCAGAAGCCTCTGAAAGGAGGAAGGCACTGCAAAGGCCTGTCACCGGGTGGTCAAAGCCCTTACCTTCAGCACCTGAGCAATGGTGGACATGCAGAACTGGCTGCCGCTGAAATGTTGCTTAAAGGTGCTTAAATCATGAAACCATGTCAAATCTGGTTCAGTAATGTTGGGATTTGCAAATGTCTGGGGCCGTTGGGAATCATAATCCTACAAAAAGGAGAAAAGGATCAACCAAGCTTGAAACAGCCTAAGCCTACCTACGAACCTCAGAGTTCGAAGTACTCTCAGTTGCAATTGAGATCCGGGAGTTACCTCAAGAAGACCAGAAATGCTGCCTAAGGTTACATATTACAAACATGTTACAAACATGTTTGCTAAGCAGTGTAGCCATTCCAATCCTCGCAGGCTCCATTTGTCGCCACGGTGCGGGTCAAGGCCTCCATCATCTGTCGAGTCTGATCACGTTCCAGCAAGGTGCGCCAGACATCGTAGCGCCAGCGACCCGCTCCTTCCAAGAATTCATGGTACTTCCCTTCGGCCTGGCACAGCTTGTGGTGGATGCAATATGACATGGCCCGACTGCATGTCGAGAACCATCAACAAAAAGGCCCCGTCGAATCCCGTCGATGTGTCAAGTAATTTGTATTAATTTGTTGCATCAATTAGCCACATATGAAATCGATTTGATGCGATATTATCGATATTTAATGTGCATGGCTTCTCGCACGGAATCTGCTTACGGCTTACATCCAACCAGACATCCGCTTCATGGACGGCACCGACCCATCCGACCCCACCTGGATCTTCAGCTGTGCCTCGGTGAGCCCCCGACCTGTCAGGGAACTCCACTCCTTGCGCTTCTTCAGCACCTCGTTCTCATGCAGCTTCACTCGCTCTTCCTGCCAGGGGAAGAGAAACTGGCACAAGGTACAAGTCGAGATTCCAATCCCAGTGAGATCTACCCACTTAGTCACTTACTAGTTTGCATCCTCGGGTAATCCAGCGTGTCACTTGAAAGTCCCGATCGTTTTATCAATTTGTCACTTAACAATTTAGAGATGTTCCATGGTGGTTTGCTCAAAAGGCCAGGTCGCTGCCTGGATCGGTCTCCAAAATGGGTTCTCCACCGCCGACCGCACCAGGGGCGACTGCCGCTGCCGTTGCCAGCGCCGCCGGGCGAAAGCTTGAAGCTTCTTGGCGGCCTGGCAGCGGAAAATATATCTTCAAAATTCAAAATTTCAATTTTTGGGTGTATACAGTATAAATGGCAATGGGAAATCCCTATGATTTACGCTTTACCATTAATGCCCCGGTCTTTGTTGGGGGTTTCGTTGCATCTCCCCAAAAACTAAATTGAAGCCCCAAAATGAAATTGTGGTTCCAACATGTTCCAACGTGCCCGCCATCCAGTTGGCTTTGGATTTCAAATAATTAATGTCAACCCTCGTACCTCCACAAGTCACAAATCACTGACAAAAATGCTAACTGCTAACCCCCCTACATTCATAGAGCGTTTTGCTCATCCTGAGATAACATTGTACTGATTCTACCACCCCCACCTGCTGCAGTTTTTGCTCCCCAACCAGCTTCACCAACTTCTTCTTGGCCCTCACGGCGCGCCACAAGCTCTGCACGCGCGTGGCCGCTTCCGCCTCCCTCGCCTCTGCGTAGCGTCCCACCAGGCGGTGCCCAAAGGGCATGGCCAGGCGCGCCTTCATCTCGTCAATCACCGCCTGGCTAAAGGGCACGGTGCTGGAAAGGCAGCACCCAACCTGACTAGTTATGATGGGGTTTGTGGGTTTAACATGGTTTAACTGGGTCAGTCTTTGAAGGTGATAACGCCAAATAAGGTCTATGATGGCCTGTGCATGTAAGCGATTATTGGTGACTGTGGCATTGTTCTGCTATATTTCCATCCTCCCACAGTTTTGTTGTGAAACATCATCCACGCTGCACCTGCACCCCACTCCTTGTTTGTTGCCCGGTGCCTCCGTGGCATAGACGCGTTGCGCCACCCGCCTCCTCTCCTCCAGGTACTTCCTCCTCCGCCGCGCGCGGTTGACGATCACCAGAAATCGCCGCCGGCGCGCCTGCGCCCGGTACCAGCGCTGCAGCCGACAGACGGCCTCCACAGGGCCCAGCGGTTCAGGCGGCTGTGGCGCAGGAGGCTCCGGCAACTCGGGTGGCGGGGCTGGAGGATCCATGGCTCTGGGAGGATGATCTTGTCACCGAAATATAGGGGTCACCCTGAAAATTGATGGAAATGCATCTCCTCACATGTTGTCCTCTTTTGAAAGGACTCATTCATTCTGTCCATTGCGACGGACCACTCTACAACCAAATGCTTTGAACCAAGGTATCTTTCCTTTTGGAAGGGAACTTGCTTGGTTTTGCATTCTTGTGCATTGTTTTGCCTCTGCAAAATAGCCCTTCTATCTTGTATTCACTGTTCCTTAGCACTGTTTGGGGTGGTTTGGTTAGAGCCCCCTAGACTAGATTGGCAAAGGGGGTTCACCTCTACCACCACCATCACTCAGTGCAGCTTTTGATCGTCTGGCGGCCGCGGGGCCCAACAAACAACATTGGGGGAGTAGCGACACGCAGATTGAACCTGCATTCCACCTGCATCCTTTACAAAATGGCTAATACATCGAAATAACTACGATAAACATATATAAACATGCATGATACATAAAGAAACAAAAAATATCATAACATCTGGGCAAATTAGAATAGACATGAAATGATTGGGGTGGTTCCCCTTACTAACCTCAGTTTAGAGGTCAGCCTTGTCCCACCTAAACTCGCCATGAGCATCAGCTCATGATCCTTGGCTAGATACACCAAAGAAAGGGCCACAGGTATATCTATGTTATCTATCTAGATTATATATATATGTGTATATATATATGTATATATAAATGTGATGTATGTATTGTGTGTGGTGGTGTGTGTGTGGGTGTGTGTGTGTGTGTGTGTGTGTGTGTGTGTGTGTGTGTGGTGTGTGTGTGGTGTTGTGTGTGTGGTGTGTGTGGTGTTTGTGTTTTTTGTGTGTGTGTGTGTGGGGTGGGGTGTGTGTGTGGTGTGGGTTGGTGTGTGTGTGTGTTTTTTTTACTACCCCTTTAACACCTTGTTGCGTGTCAGCAGGCAAGCCCTCAACAGTTTGTACTGTTGGCCATGGCCACTACGGATTTCGACGTCCGCCGTAGGGCACATGGACTTATCAAGCTACCAATCCCTAAGGACACATGAAAAAGAAAGCCACATGGTCAGGCACCAAAAATCCACAGGTAATTGTTAGTGAACAGTGCCAAAATGGCTGGAAAAATGAAAGTGAAAAGATATTCAGCCGCTGCCCTCACCCGCCGCAGATGAATTGCCAGTCAGCGCAGCAGCCTCACAGCAGCCACAGCGGCCAGCACAGGAATGCCAAGAAGCAGCGCCAGCGCAGAACTGCTAAGAGGAAGATCCGCAGCACCAGGGGCGTCAGCAGCTAAATGCATTCAAGTGGCAGGTACACAAAACAGATCAAAGGTCAAAGCGAAAAGTGAAAGAGCCAGTGCATGTCTGCCCATCAAATCCAATCCAATGAGGCTCAATGCCCAGTGCTCGTAGTTTCCAACGTAGGAAAAGCAAGATCTCCCACATCCATCGTCCTGGCGTTGTGAGCAGTCTCACGGACAAGCCACAACAACATGCAAGTTCTGTGAACGATTTCTGGCAATTGCACGACACGTTGTGGTACTTTGGCATCATCGTACAACAGCCAATGACCCTGATATTTCAATGCTGCACGCCAATGTCCGGTGTCAGTGTCTGCACCCAAATGATAAACCACGCCACAAATCACAAAACTGTCCATAGTGATCTCACCATCTGTGTTGCTAAAGAATGGAAAAGAAATATCACGCTGGAAATGAATCAACTGAGTCAGTTTCGATGAATTGTCATCTCTGTGACGATTGAGTTCCAACACCAGCTGGCTTCCATCCTGCGTAGCTGCTCGACAAAGACCTAGGGGGTCGTGCCAGCACAAAATGAGATTTTGAAGATCACAGGAGTCTGAAGAAAGATCAGTGAAAGGTAATACAATTGGAGTGAAAGCAGAGCCTTTTCCCCGTCCAGCTGATGTGCAAGTGGTCCATCAGTGAAAACTGGTTTTGTCACCCACGAGCAATCAAGAAAACCAGGTCGAGTGAAATTGAGGATGTAACTGCAAAATTCACAAGCATCCTGTTGCCGCTGCATAAATTTCTCAATTGACCAATCCCCTGTGAGAAGCCACTCAAAGGGACCGAAGGTCATCAGGTCCAAGGGAATGGCACTGTTGTGCACCAAGCTGCGCATCAGAATGAATCCACTGGTCCAAAGGTCAAAAACATAGCCATCCGCCAAAAGCATGAGCCAGGCCAAGCATTGTAGCACTGCGTTGGCTGCACAGGCCTTGCCAGTGGGATTCAAAAGGATGCGGATTACCCCCATCACTTGGCCTTCAACAATTGCTGCGCCAAAGGAGATCTTGTCAGGCTCTGTCCCCGGAGTCTCACTTGGATGAGCTGCCAAATAGAGTGGTGTGCCAATTTGTCCAACTCGAAGTAGAGCTCGGTGTTGTGACGCAGGCTCACCGTCCATAGCCACGGAATGGGCTCAGAGATTTCCTGGCCCTCCAATGGCTTCCGAAGTGCGTGAAAACGCAATGTCACCCGATGATCTGACATCAGCCGAATCATGTTGGAGAGGCTCTGTTTCACCTGTTGCGCTGGTAAGCCAGGAGCATCCGTTGGTTGAAGTTTCTGGGCCTGAGGGTTCCAACGGAGATACGGCATCGTCCTGGGCTGATCCGGGGTGATCAAATGATAAGTCACGCAATCCTGAAACAGATCCTCCGTCGGTGCCGCAGCCAGCAATTTGTCCAGGCGCAACTCCAGAGCCTGAAGCATCGTCTTGGCCAAAAGGTGTCTGAGCGGCTCCTTCTTCTCCGTCGCATGCCAGGTTTTGCTGGTTTGCATCAACGTTGGCAGGATGCTGCCCTGGCCAGGGGCCATAAACACCATGAACTCCGATTCTTGGAGCAGGGTGTTGAGGCTGTCTTCGTGCCGCAACACTAGCCTCGTGAGCGTGCTCAAAAGCTCCGTCGGGATCGTCGTTGTCGAGGACGATGATCCCTGTCTGGACAGCTCCTTGTGTTTCTTCTGGTCCTTCTTCTGCCGTTTGTTGCCGGGCTGCTGCTCTGGGGCAATGCCAAGGGCTTTCAGCTGGTCTGAAGTCAATAAGTTGCCCCAGATTTTGCTGGCTGAGTCGATCCCCTCGTTTGCCTCGAATGCCAAGTCCATTGGTGAGATACACGGCAAGGTTGAGCAAGGCAATGCACTGTTTTAAGTGCCGGGAGCAGCCGCAAAACTGACAGATGTCATGGCAGCGCAAAGCAAGTCTGTGATAGCACATCAAGGTTTGCATCTGTAGAAAATTGTGTTCCCGATGCAAATGTTCCTCAAATTTGAGTGCTGTAAAGAAACATTTGTGGCAGCACAAACATCTGTAGTTCAAACTTTCACCCAGCATGGAGTCTTGAATCTGCATGAGTCCACATTGAGCAAGCAAATCAACTGTGAGGCCAAAGGTGTCTGAGGACGTCACGTTGTATTGCCACAATCGCAGTTCTTCCTGACGCTGTGCTGCTCTGATAGCCTCATGCGTCGGCCACACAAATGGAACCAGTGCTGGCTTGCTCCACACAGGCATCATCAAAAGCAGAGCCATCTGAATGACAAATGGGCAATGCGGCATGTGCTCAATGGGACACGTCTGAATGTCATAGTCCTCTTCATAAGATGGCAGCACTTCATTGCACCAGTCACAGTGCCAGTCAGTGGATTGCAAGGCCGTATAGACCACTCCCAATTGCTCCGCAAGATATGTGACTCGGTCTGCCGTGATGCGATGAAACACAAACAAATGAGCCGTGAGCGTCTTCAGTTCCACTTCTTCCTGACAGAGGAGGCAGCGGGTGCGTAGCATCTGAGTCAGTGCTGGATCTTGCCAAAGTTTGTGAAAAGTTCTTGTCATCAAGGCCATTGCAATGCGTCATCATCAGGCAGCAGGACACTCAACAGGTCAGTGAGCTGGGTCGAGGAGAAGGGCCATGGTACCACAACCTGCCAGTTGAAAGATGCAGCCAGCAAAGCCAATTGAGTAAGCCCAACGCACTCGTGATGCATCGCTCCCCATCCCGGACCAGGATTGCAAAAGCATCCAAGTTCTGCAAACATGCTCCATTGAAACAAATGCTTCAAATTTTGAACCTCTTGCAGCGAAACTGGGTGGACGGCATGAAGATGATGATTGAGCTTGTCACCAGAGTCAAATTTCTCTCCACAGAGTTGGCACTGAATTGTCAACTGAAGCCGAAGATCACGCTTCTTGTACAGCAATTTCGAATGCCCGTGCCAGATAAGCGGCTCTATCTGCTCAGCTATGCCCAGAAGCATGTCAGGAGGTAAGGCCATGACTTGTGGCATCTGCTGACGTTCATGCTCCAGCCTCAACAGGGCAAACTGTAGAAAAAGAGGACAGATATGTTTGTTGTGCCGCTTGGGATGACAGACGCAGCCATGTTCAGGTTTGTGTAGTCTGTCAAGGTCAATGGCTCTCCGTTCACTCTCGTGCCATTCAGAAGCATGGTTGAGTTTGATATGGCGAGAAAGGTCTTGAGGACGCCCAAATGACTTCTGACACTGAGCGCACCTGGTGGTCAAGAAGCGCCGCACCGACTCCAGCTGCAGCAGGTCCGGGCAAGAGTTCAGCTCCACTGCCTGATTGATATGGCAGTACGTCTGAACTGTGTCAGGGTCAAGTTGGTCACAAGCCTCAATTGCATCATGATAGTCCCGTAGATGTCTTTGAAGGCCATGAGCTGTGGAGTAGCCCTTCCGGCACACAGGACATGTCAAAGGTTCACTGTCTGCAGGACCGGTGTCAAAGCCCATGAAAGTCATCATCATGGACATCTGTCGAATGAGCATGCACTTGTGATACTGTTTGAATGGTTCTCCACAAAGAGCACAAGGGGACGTAAGAGGCCATCGAAACAAGAGTTGTTCATTGAGACTATCATGCCGTCTGAAGACTTCATGATGTGCCGTTTGAAAATGAAGCAGGAGTCCCTTGGTGGTGTTGCAGAAAAACTTGCAAATGCCACATCTGGT